GTGCCCGGCTGTCGCTCCACCCGGTGGGCGCCGCCGCCCAGAGCGAGCGCGGCGCTTGTGCCGCCGTGTGCTGCGCGCGGAGAAACGGGCTGGCACCCGAGGAGCCAAGCGGGGGACCTGGCGGGCAGCTCTCCAGCCCAGGGCTTCTCGATGGCCGCCTGATCATCGCCAGTCCGGACCTGTAGGCTGGGAATCTAGCCCCAGGCCCAAGGGCCACAAACCCGTTCTTAGCTTTTTTTTTTTTTTTTTTGGTGGGGATGCCTTTTTAATTATTTTTCTGGGTGTTTTAAAGCCATCAGAGGGACTTTCCAAAGGGGGACCTTACACTCCTCATCACCCAGGAAAGCACAAGCAGAAGGCGAACCATTTTTAAGTAGAAGCGACCTTGACAGCACAGACCTGAGCTGGAGTCCTTTAAACATTAATTAGAAGTCTGAGATTAATCAGTTAACGTTCAAGGATTTAAGACCTTAAACAATGGGGCAATTAAACGTGTTAGCTTTCCCAGCCTCTGCATTGATAAAACTACTTACAAAGGTCGGCTGGGACAGGTTAAAAAATTGAAGCCTGGTGACCCAGCGCCTGATCCAAACGTGACCGGGCATCTGAGTCTCTCCTTGCAGTTCTGTGCTCTAGCCCTCATCCTAAGCCGCCAATAGTAGTTCTTTTAAATCCCAGCGACGATGCTTGCTAACCAAGGCCGTACATTAACTGTCACCCTCTTCTTTCTATCCTTATATGGGCCGCAAGACTTCCAGCCTCCCTCTCCCGGCGGCACCAGGTGGGAGGCGAAAGAGACAAGTGGAAGACGAAGGGAGAAGAATGTGCCTACTCTATGTCAAGCAGTTGCTAAATGTTTTGCACATATCATTTTATTTAATTATCACAACAACCCCATGAGTTAGAATAATTTTCACTCTTCTACAGATGGAGAATTTAGAGGGCTTTGAAAACGGGCCCAATTCGTACAGTTAAAAGGTGAAAAGCCTTTATCATGTTCTTTGTGCTCCAGGCTCTGTCGCCAGGGCTTCCATCCCACTTAACATAAAAGCAAAATTCTGAAAATCCTGCATGCATGACCTTAGATGGTGTGATGTCCCCCTTACTTCCTTGAGCCGTTATTCCTGTATTCTCTCTTCCTCACCTGCGCATGCACTCTGGCTCCTGGCTATTCCTGGCTGTTACTGGAAAATGCCAGGGAGCCTTCTTCCTCGGGAACCACATACTTGGTGCCTCTGTATAGTACAACGTACGCACAGAGCTTCGTCTGAGACCGATTCAAATCTTTAAAACGAGGTCTCGCTACCCCCCAATACTACCTCTCCTCTTGCTTTATTTTTCTTCGAAACACTTCACCTTCTAGTGTTTATTTATTTTGTTTTCTTGTCTTTCTCCCATCGGAAGGTAACCTCCATGAGGGCACGTATTTTTGTCCATTTTATTTATGGGTAAATTATCAGGGCCAGCCATAGTCTTTGATACAAATAAGGCACTCAGTAAAGATTTATGGGATGTTGAATGAATGTGTGCACCCTTCTGAAGCCTGTGGACTCTAAATCCTTACTTAGAGTGCTTTAAGCCTCTTGTCAATCTCTGTCTTTACTGCCTTATAAAATCTACTTTAAACCCAGGTGACCCTCTGATAAACCGCCTGTGTGTGTGTGTGTGTGTGTGTGTGTGTGTGTGGTGCTGGGGATGGAACCGGGGGACACTGTGTAGTAGAGGCAAATGCTCTACCTCTAAGGTACATCTTTAACCCGGATAAACCACATCTTCCGGAATCTAGAAGAGTATCTGGTACATACGAGACACAATGCATTTTTGTCAAATGAATTTGCACTTGGTTTTATGTTGCTTTGTGGTTATTCTTCAGTCACAGATGTATTCTGTGCAACTTCAAGTACATGATGATAAAGTCTTTTTCTTTTACAGCTATAAATACACTGTTCTTCTCCTACTCGGTAGCCCATAAATCTTGAAAGGACTACAATAAAGAGGAGGGAAACACTTTGAGTAGTACTTTTATGCTGATTGTAAAAATCCAGGCATTAGTTGTCATGTCGGCTCATGATTCCCAAAGTGAGTGTCTACGTCCCACTGTACGTCCTGCGCAGCCCGTATGCCAACCTCTCCTCACACTCCGTCTCTCCTTGCGTTTTACTCCCACAGCAGCTTGTACCTGTGCTGTGGCAGGCCTTTCCTGCGCTCCAGCCTGGGTGCATTCCCAGAAGCAGCAGCCTCGCGCCATAACATTTCCTTTATTTCCTTAACAGTCCACTTACAGCAGAGGGTTTCAAGGGGGAAGTGCTTCCTGCATCAACTGCCCTGCTTGCAAAACTGCATGTTGCTAGGCCCCATCCAGATGTTCCATTCGGTTGAAATGTTTGGTTTGGTTTTGTTTATTTGCGGTCAGTACTGGAGAACAAACCCAGGGACTTCACACGAGCTAAACCCTTAGCCTTTTTACAATATTTTTTTTATTTTAAAACAAGGTCTTGCTAAGTTGCCCAGGCTGGTCTTAAACTTGCAATTTTCCTGTCTCAGCTTCCCAAATTGCTGGAATTATAAGTATGAGCCACCATGCCTGACAGAAACCTACATTTTTAAAATTTTTTTTTTTTTTTTAACAAATTGTGATCCTGAATCAGCAATTAGACATCTGCACATCTGACAAACTCTCCTTGGCTCTCCCTTTGCACGCTCTACCCCCAGACCAGTATGATGGGGACATCACAATGGGAAAGGGAGAGGGAGTAAGTAGTAACTGAAAGTACAAAGGGCGAATTCTAGGCTGCTGGAAGATCTCATTGAACCCTCTACATTACACTCTAAAGGCAGCTATGTACACATGCCCATAACATTTTGATCTGCTTTATGAAGACCGTACTGACTCTTCCTTTATGGAATATTCTCTTCTAGAAGTAGAATTAGGGGCTGGGGATTTAGCTCAGCGGCAAAAGCGCCTGCCTGGCAAGCTCAAGGTCGTGAGTTTGGTTCCCGGTACCGGAGAAAAACCAAAAAAATAAAAAATAAAAAATAAAAAAATAAACAATAGAAGTAGAATCAAAGCCAAACCAACAAGAGTTCCCTGTGTTTCTTGGGCTCTTATAAGGTAGGAAATGCCAGGGGACACCAGAGAGCTGCTGGCCAAGTCAGAAACCAACGGTACTTGTGATCCATCGAGGGTTTCTGATACCTCACTTATCCTCTCTGTAGCACGCTCCTATTGCCCCGATCTAGTAATTCTGCTCATGAATCAGCCCTTTTTGGCTTCTTTTTCACGTATGGTCTCAGCTTCTACTGCTATCCACGCTTCCACTGTCCGCTGTCTGTAATTCATACTCAAGACTCTGCAAGGGAGAGGATCTGACTGTGTATGTCATTCACTGTTCAAAAAGAAGGGACTTTATAAGACACTTTCTGGGGGGGCGCCGGCTTTCCCTAAGGCTGGCAAAAAGACCATTGCTTTCCTTTGTGTCATGAGTCTGGACACTTCTGGTCCGAGCAACAGGACAGGGGACAGGGAATTTAAGCAGAAAGAGGCACTTATGGAAACCTTCATGGACCCTACTGAGGTAGGGTACAACCCAGTTTGTTCGAGCGGAAATCAGCACACACGAATAGGTCCCACCTGATTCACTTGCCCAGAACATTATCCCCTGAGGACACTAACTTTATTATTTGTATTCCTTTTTTGCTTACCTGTTTTCTCCCACCGAGTTACAAATTCACAAAGTCCCCTGAATCATTTAACTCTGAATTCCTGTACCTCTTAGCATAGATAGGTCCTCCAATTATTCACCTGAATGAACAGCAAAACTTCAGTCCTGTCTCTTTGCAGTCATTGAGCCAATTTCCTGGACATTTCTAAATAAATATTCAGCTAGGCATGGTGGTGCACTCCTGTAATCCCAGCACTTGGGAGGCTGAGGCAGGAGGATCATTGCAAGTTCGAGACCAGCCTGGGCTACAAAGTGAGCTCAAGGCCTGCCTGAACTGCATAGTGAGACCCTGT